TTGCATACCTAAGAGTTAGAGGGTCATTGCTCTAAGACTATTTTTGACCTCATATAAGTGAAACTCCAATACAATCCCTGGGAACTCAGTATAAAATTGTTTATTCTTGCTAGTTTGACCTTGACCTTTTGCCTTTATTCCAGTCACTAAGATTCTACCTTGTTTTTCTGTATCTGGGAGCAGTAGTTCATCTAAGACCATGACCCTTCCATGGTCTTGGTAATCTTCCACATATAGACTATTCAAAAACTAAAATCCGTGTTTAAACTCCACTTAGTATCTATGGTATTTTTCATGGCCCACCTACCTAACTCTCTCAGAACTACTTGCCTCATATATATTTTTCTTTTTTGCTTTGTCTGGTTTAATCTCCTGTTTTATGCCTCTCTTCTATAATGGGCTACAATTGTTGGTGTTCACTGTCCAGCATATGTACTAATACATTTTGTCTGCTGTATTAACTTTCTTCCAAGGCTGCTCTCATCCTCCTAGATCCTTACTAGACTGCTCTATACCTGCTGTGATAACAAGACTTTCCTATTTACATCCAGACATACAAAATAACTAAAGGTCAAAAGATAGACAAAGCAGCCAGGGGTTTCACAAATTGTTACAAAGCCCATGTTCATAGACAGAATGAAGGAAAAAATAATAAGTACGGGAAAAAAAGAAAACCATGGAAAGCTAAAGGGGAAGTCCTTGGAAACTGGAATAGTAGAAAAGGTAAAATAAAATTTTAAAATTCAATTCTAATCATTTGTCTTACTTTTCTAAAATTTATTAAGCAATGTCAAGGAAAACAAACATAATTATTCAACCTAAAGGGAAGGTTAAGATGAATAAAAGAAAACAATAAACAAAAAAAAGAGTACTGACCTATTAGAACTTAGAAGACTTGGATTTCTCATAGCCTCTCTACCATGGTTTAGGTTTGTGATCTAGACCAGTGCTTCTCAACCTGTGGGTCATGGCCCCTTTGGGGGTCTCCTGCATATCAGATATTTACATTAGAATTTATAACAGTAGCAAAATTATAGTTATGAAGTAGCAACAAAAATAATTTTTCAGTTGGGGGTCACCACAACCAGGGTCGGCATTAGGAAGGTTGAGAACCACTGATCTATAGACTAAGGCTCTTAACTTTTCTATGCTTCAATACCTTATTTGTAAAATGAATATAATAAATCAGTCTCTATGCTTCCCATAGGGTTATTATGACAATTCAAATTATTAAAGAGATTTGAAACCATAAATACCATATAAATATATATAAAGGATTACTATATCTATGTACATTGCTATTATATAAAAGATTATAATTGGGAGCTGCACCTATGGCTCAGTGGGTAGGGCACTGGCCCCATATACCAAGGGTGCCAGGTTCGAACCCAGTCTGGGTCAGCTGAAACATCAGTGGCAACTGCAAAAAAATAGCTGGGTGTTGTGGTGGGTGCCTGTAGTTCCAGCTACTCAGGAGGCTGAGGCAAGAGAATTTGCCCTAGCCCAAGAGCTGGAAGTTGCTGTGAGCTGTGACATCACAGCACTCTACTGAAGGCAACAAAGGGAGTGTCTCAAAAAAAAAAAAAAGATTATAATTAACACATCCACAAAAGGCATACAGTGGTGATTTTTTTGTTGTTGTTTTATATTATTTTTAATGGAAAGCATAAACCATACACAGTGAAAAAAGTAAATAGGAGTTTGTGAAATGTCTTTCCTAAGCAAATCTTAAGAATAATACTAATATCAGTTAGGAATAAAGTAAAATCATCCTAATCAGATTAATTTGAGTTTGCTCAGGTCAGACCTAAATCTTAAATCTTATCAGAAATACTTCCCTGATAAGGAAAGGAATCATTTGGAATGACACAGGTAACATTTTCTCATTCAAAACCATTGACCTAAAGCTAGAATTCTGACTGATTTCAAGTTGCAAAAGCTTAGGGTATTGGTTGATGACATTTAGACTTTATCCAGCATTGGCCTAAGATTTAATCAGGTACTATGATTTGATTTAACTGGATAATGTATACGCATTAAAACTGAGAAAGTAGACTCGGCACCTGTAGCTCAGTGAGTATGGTGCTGCCCACATAGACTGAGTCTGGTGGGGTCGAGCCTGGCCCAGGCCTGCTAAACAATAACAACTGCAACCAAAAAAATAGCCAGGTGTTGTGGCGGGCACCTATAGTCCCAGCTACTTAGAAGGCTGAGGCAATAGAATCACTTAAGTCCAAGAGTTGGAGGTTGCTATGAATTGTGATACCACGGCACTCTACCCAGGGTGACATAGTAAGGTTCTGTCTCAAAAAAAAACTGAGAAAGAAAGTGGAAGACTTAGCCAGTGCACAAATTGGTTGATAAGAAGAGGATTGTTTAATTTATTGACTTAAAAAACAGACACTTCCATATTTTTTGCTTCAATAAACTCATTCAATAAATATTACTGAGCACCTACTATGTTCTAGGCATTGTTTAAAACTTTGGGGAATGTGATTAACAAAAATAGTCAAAAACTCTCTGCCATCATAGAACTTATGACAATGGCAAAGAGGCCAATAAGTTTAAAAGATACACAAATTACAGTAGGTTAAAAGCTGATAAAGGGTCTTCAAACAAAGAGAACAGAACGAGAGAGATGAAGAACATTTGGAGGATTGCAATTTTAAATAGGATAGTCAAAGTAGATCTTACCAAGATGACATTTAAGCAGGGACTTAAAGAAGTTTATGGGTTTTGGTGAGGTACCATAATCACAGGGGTCTTTTCAACAGTTTTAATTTTTTACCATTTTAATAATAAATACAAGATAGTCTTATAAATTGACTTTTATATGACAACAAAAAGTTGTAAATCACTAAGTTAATGGTAAAACAAATGGTAGTATAGCCATACAATGGTAAATGGTATAGTGATTTAAAATGTACTCAAAGACTATAAAAATGGGACAATCCAATAAAATTATGTTTTTAATATACGAATGTATTTATAGCATGATCCAATTCTGCAATTTTTTTTTCATTTGCTCAACAACTATTTTTTCAAGTACCTACTATGAGCCAGGCACTGTTCTCAGCACAGGAGAGAGGGCTGTAAACAACCTAGACACGTTCTTTCTTCTCATACACACATAGAGAAAAGACTGAAATGAAATGCATCAAAATGTTATTAGGCGGGAAAGTTATTTTAAAATAATATCATAGATATTTTATTTTCTCTTTTATAATTAAATATAGTCCAAAGTTTCTAAATATTTTCCAAATGCTTGCAAACACAAACCATGGCATCTATACTTATCTAAATATGGTCCACATTTGCTTTGGGATATCTGTTTGGATAAAGCACAAATTTGCAGTCCTAAAATATTCTACAAAATTAATATTGCACTTTTCAATAGTATACCAATTTTTATGTCTCATAGCATCTAAATAAAATTGAGTAACAAGAGGCCCTTTTCTACAGACACAAAAACTAAGAAACAGGACAGTTAACTAATTTGCTGCCCTAGAAATACCAAGTGTTTAAACTGTAAATTATAATAATATATATGAAAGAACTGCCCACAGTGCCTAGATCAAGGAAAGTTTGCTGATTCTGGATCCTATGCTAGGCATTAGGGTACATCTCCCCCCCACTCAACTGGGATTTTTTGTTTTTGTTTTGTTTTTCACGAGGGGGGGGAAGCACCATTTATTTAAAATGGAGCTTTAATAATTATGTAAAGAATCTTATTTGAATACTAACCCTACTACCACTACCAGATGTTAGCTTTATTCCATCTCCTCTGGACCACTAAAATGACCAGTAAACAAGTTAAATATGTTCCTATAAGGCTTTTTCAATCTTCCTTAGATATCAGCTATTTTATATTTAAACAGTATAACAAATGGCAGCTATTTGTCTACCTCTAATTAGTTGAGTTACCTTAGGAAAGTCATTTTAAATTTCCAGTCTCACTTTTTTTATTTTTCTAATATATGAATTGAACTAGATGATCTCACAAGTCCTTAAGTTCTAACATTTCATGAAGTTATTATTATTTCAAACCCATGCAGTATTTACAATAAATTAAGGAACATAGCTTCTCAAAGAAGAAAGGCTACAGCAATAAGGATGATGGGCTAAAAAAAGAAAACAAAGACCCAGGATTAAAAGAGGATTTGAAAATCTCCCCAAACCCCTAGACCAAGCCCAGCTTCAATCACACAAGATCTGTTTTCAGATAATAAAGAGCAGAAATATGAAGGTTTCTCAGATCTTCAAAAGATAGCCTTTTGCTTATAAAAGATAAAATTCACTTGTTCCTATACTTCCTCTGGTTCTTGAAACATAAATACACACACCAACAACAACCACCCTAACTAAGTGTTTTAATATTGGTATGAAAGGAAAAAACAAGTCACTCATTTTGCTGAAATAAAAGTATTTTAAACTCTGAGAGGGTGATTTGGTTTTGAGAGGTTTTTGTTTAAAAAATACTGTATTCAATCCTTTTCTATCACCTCTTCTATATATAAAACTCCCAATAGCTCTTAAAATAGTGGCATTTTCTTATGTACATAGAGAAAAATTTGTGTTGCTATTGCAGCAACATCTAAACAGTTTCCTGTAAACTTTCTGTGATAGAACTCATAGAATTTATGATAAAACCCTGTAGAGTGGCAAAACAAATTTCTTTCATATTTATCATTCATTTTATTCAGTGTACATTTGAAGCAAACCTTTTAAGAACACCAGTAATGTGAGAAAGCTACAACAACTAAATTTACTGTTAAGTATCACATCACTGGTCCTCCTAGGAGTTTAGGAAGAAAGCTTAAATCACATTTCCTAACACATTGGAGAGCTTCCCAGAGATGTGATGGCCCACAGAGGCAAACCATCCAAAGCACACTGGAATCTCAGCGATGGTGACAAAGAAATATTGCTTTATTTAATGAAAGCAACTTGGAGTTATCCTTTTTTTTTTTCTTTTTAACAAAACACAAACTCTCCCCTACCCCATTTTTCTTCTTTCCTTCCTCCACCCCCTCCTGTTTCACCTGACTAAACTGTAGGTATTTGTTCCATCACCTGACTTAAGGACTGGCTAGAAATATTAGAAAAAAACAATCTACCATTGTTACATGAGACAACAACCTTTCATGTCCTTGAAGCTCACCATGACCTTTCATCTTTCCTATCCCCAATGGTCTCTCCTAACAACTAAAACTACACTCTGTTGGGCTGAATTCCAGATTGTCATAAAAAGAACCCTGTCCTTTCAAAACAAAACCAATTTTTACACCAAGGTGGGGGAGAAACACAAGTCCATTGTTCCCTCACAGATGGAAGTTGGAGTTACTAAGGCAACTGCTCTAATCCTTCTTTTTACCACCTTTTTCACATCACTGGCCTATCAAGTATGCTACCTTTTAACTCATAAGCTCAAAAGCTGGTAGTCTAACTGGCTGCCCTAATTAGCTACGATTTTCACACTACAGACAACATGATGAGCTAATCGAAATTTGCAAAATAATGACGTACCTCCAGCAAATATTCCTCCTCCTGAGGCCCAGTCTTAGAATAACAATAATGAGACCATTATTAGAGAAGGGCATTAAAATGCTGCACTGCTGCTAAACAGAGAACTTAATTGTTCTGGTCTTGTCCATTGAATCAACAACCTATTGTTGTGGACTTGAAAAATAAAGGACTGGAGAATGGGTGCCATGATGATTGGTCTGTGCGGCCATACCGGCACTCTGTAGAATTGTTTTCTTTTGAAACTCTTGATGGACTAGTAGTTTTGTTTAAAAGTAACATAAAAGGCGATTGTCTGGATAAAAAGTCTATTTATTGAAATCTTTAGAAGCAGTTGCATGGATTTGTTCGTGACCCCTGAGATAAAAACATAGTGACCATAATAACACCATTTGTAGAGAGCTCTGTTACCGCTGCCTACAGTAACATAAGATAAGAGACAGCCTTTTCTAACTACAGTAGGAAGGAAGGAAGTACTTCTGAGCAGAAAGCAAGAATGATAAAAGGTCAAATACTGGATAAAGCTCATTAATCTCTGAAAGAAAGACTTTTTAAAATAATGCTAATTTAAGAATTCTGTACAATTGCTACAGATTCAAGCACAAGCAAAAAAAAAGGCACACAGCTTTTTTTTCTTTTCCAACTTTGAGCTTCTTTCCTTTAGTAAAAAGAGGATTAAAATAAAATGATTATTAAATAACTGAAGCAAGATGCCTCAGGATAACCTGGAGAACAAGAAACCCAAAGGTTTCCAGATAATTATTCTTGTGGTCATCCCCAGTCTATATTGAGAATAACAAAACACCAAAGTTAAAGGTTAACTAGTGCAGGATTCTTAGCAGTAGAAAAGCACTGTTTACACACTGTAAAAGTCTCTTCTATATGGAGCCACAGTATATGTTTTCTGTAAAGTCAGGCCAAGATTTTAGCATTGAATTGTGGGGGAGGGGTGTACTTTTCTTCCTGGTAAGTATTTGGGGTAGGGGTCTGTTTGTTACCAAGTGAAATCTGCATTATATAAAAATGTATTAAATTGTAAATAAGACCTCTTGTTTCATTCAATCTGTGCTTTGCTTCATTTATCTTCATCTTGTTAAGCTAAATTAATTAACAATCTCACTGTTGCACACTTTCTCTTTTCATTACATCAAATAATGACCCATGTATGGAGAAAGCCCTCACCACGGGAATTCTGCAACTCTACTGCTAAGAAGAATTTCTGTGTATCAATGTAGCAATATTCATTTTATAAGCATTTATTAAATGTACTTTTCATTGTTAACAACCAATTAAGCACCTAAATTCCTAATTATTATCAATAGAAAACCATTAACAAAAAGCAGAACTAAACTAAAAGTTGCAGGACACTTTAAAAAGGAAAAAAGCTTTTATGTTACTAAGTTTCTTTATGGACTAAATGTCCACAACTGGGTTTCACCGTCAATTTCACCTAAAATAAGAAGAAACACATGCAAATTTGGTAGGTATGTTTTCACAGATACAACACAATATTGCATAAAAGCTTTAAAGACACACCCCAAGCTGTTCTGCTCCTTGCTGTGAAATGTCTAATGTGATAAATTGGATGATTAGAATTTCATTGGTAAATCCCATTATTTTAAATCTATAAGAGTGAAATGTGTTAAACTCTTTTGTAAGTTTTCTTTTCAACCTGAAACTCTGTGGCATTTGGAGTTATGCAAATGGACAAAACAGTAAAGCCCTTTTAAATCTTTTCCTTGATCAACCAGAGCTTCTTTCTCCAATCACAGCTTTGTGCGTGATATCTTTCTGCTAGCATTTCTTATTTAATTAAAACAGACACTGACAGAAGGACATGGATTAGTACTGTAATGATGCATTTACTTAGATTAATCGGAGGCTCCTTTTAGAGTAATGGCTTAAACAAAGAACAAAAGGAAATTGTTATGAAACAGCCTTTTATCCCAGGCAAAGGTCGCATTATGAGGTTTTTAATTTTGTCAGCTTCTGTTATACTCTGCCTTGCTAGTGGAACATGAGAAGTGCTTTTACCCCCAATAAAGCCAGTTATTATAAAAACAGCCATTAAAGCTGCAAATTAAAATGTCTGATTTTAAAACAGGTTACTTAGCTTTCAGAATCCTCTAATTAGCATGTTGTGCATTGTTGTGAGGAAAAGAAGACTAAAATGCTAATGACCTACCACCAGGTGACCACACTGCTGTGCAAAATAATAAGGACCTTTCCAAGTAATATGATGAATTAACCAAGTACAGGTCCCCCATTTTACACCCCAAGTACAGCTCCAGATGAATGGAGGGCCATAACTGTTAAGATATGTTCTTAACTGTTAAGTAATGCCCTGCCTCTGTCCAGAAGACTCTCAGTCACTAAAAAGCAGACATCTTTCTAACACAAAAGAAACTAAATGAAATAGCAATACTAAACAGAGTCTGAAATTAGAAAAGACTACAGTTATTTGATTCCAAAGAATTAAAGAACCATACCTCTAAGAAAACTCCCTCTTCCCCCCCTTTAATAACTTGGGCTTGCAGAGTATAAAAGGAGCTCAGGTTTGAACGCTCACTTCCTGTTCACACATTCGTTTTTACACTGTCTTGTCTTTAAATGGTCCAAAGGTAAATAATTTTCTGAGCCTTGTTTGTCCCTTCTGTTTTACTTACTCCACTCACTACTACCTCCCTTAAGTCAAAAGTTGCTCTTGACATAGGATATATTGTCCTTTGTGTTTCTTATTAGATGAATTTAACTAAATTATTTGCCCTATTTTCTTTTTCTGACTTACCTTTCTTTATGGACTAAATGGTTCTCTGCCCTATAAGGCTATAGATAAGGCTATCATAGATTAGGTGAATATGTAGACTCCGTGAGAAATAGCTCTAGAATTCCCCCACAGAGAAAATATATTCCATTTTAAGTCAAATCTCACAGAAGTACCACTGCATATCTTGCTCTAGAAATTTCTCAAAATACAATGTGAAACAGATATTCGGAACAAACAATACAAGAAATCACTCAGGATCCTCAGCAACACTCTGTCCAGTGGAGTCTTTTGAAAAAGCGATTATTAAGGTTGTTATCAATCACCTATGGCCATAAGAATTCTGCAGGTTTGACCGCCTCAAAACTTGGCAGCTTAAAACAATAAGCATTTATTTAGCTCGTGCATTTGCAGGTCAGCTGGACATTTCTCTGGTTTTAGTTGAGCCCACTACCGTGTCTAGTGGTTGGCTGGCTTCTGGCTCATCTAGGATGCCTTGGCTGTGACAACTGGTGTAATTCAACTCTGCTCCATATGTCTCATCCTCCAACAGGCTAGCCAAGGCTTGTTCTTCCACAGTGACAGAAAGTAGCAAGAGTGTGAACAGAAATGCACAAGTGCTTTTACAAGCCTCTGCATGTGTCACATTTGCTAACACCCCATTGGCCAAAGGAAGCTAAATGATTCATCTCAGAATCAAGGGGTGGGGCTGAAAGCTCTGTCAAGATCGGAAGGGCACTGCAAAGTTTCATGGCAAAGGTCATGAATACAAGGAAGGATGAAGAAAAATCAGAGCCTTTAAAGTAATCAGTCTTAGCAAAGAGGTCAAGATCATTTTGATGACTCACAAAGTTCTTTAGCAGAAGCGTCTGTTTTGTTCCATTTAAACTAATGTTGTCTAGATAGCTACTTAATGTTGACATTTTTACTTTATTAAGTGAGAAAAACTCTTTTAAAAAGCAATTAATAAACAACCCCATCACACCTATCTCCAGTGATTTGTAATTTTAAAATTGTAACTAATAAGCTGATGTGAAAATGTAACTTATACATGTTCACCATTTATTTTTGTGAACTGACTTATGAATCAGTTGTATGTATCTTAATAAAAGACCTGAAAACCACAAACATTTTTGTCTCTGATGTCTCCTTTCTATTCACAGAAGCAGCTAAGTTTGAGGAGATAACAAATGCTAGACCCAGAATTTTATTTATTACTCTATCTCAGGTGGTATAGACAGTTTCATTCCACAGAATTTCAGAAAACAGTATTCCACAGTCCTTTCCTACATAGCTGCAAAAGCATTTTAAAAAATTATTTTTAAGTCCAGTCTCTACTACTCACATCCCTATTTTTCCTCTAATATTTTTGTGGAAAAGGAAAGCAAAGAACACTGGTCTGAGCATGCTACAGGAGAAGGTGCCTTAGAATAAGATAATTAAGAAGTTAATTTTAAGTTCTACAAATTCTCTGTTTCTGACCAGAAGCAGCAAAGATCAATGAGGAAAGTATTCTTGATGACTACATCAGTTTCCCAGAGTTAATCTGGCAGGGGCCCTAGACATAGTTTTAGGAAGATACCTAGAGTAAGTTACCACCAGTCTTTCCACTCACAAATACTCATCCAGCAAAAGAAGGAGTGATTACTGGGCAAAATTCCTAAACCCTGTGGCAAGGGAAATACTATCCTATAGCACCACTCAACAATTATCCCTGTGAGCAATTAAAATAACCAGTGAAGTGGGTCTCCAAAAGCAGCCTTCAGCCATTCCTTCATTTCAGCCAGCACTGACAATGAGGGCTGCCAAAGCTGGCGCTAACACCCGAGGAACAAGAAATAAAGGCCAACAAAGCTCAATCTTGCATCCAAAGCCACTAAAAAGGAAATTAAATGACATGGAGAAAACTATCTTAAGAAT